AGGTGTTGATTAGTTCATAAGTTGTACCTGAGCATTCCACAGTTTATACACATTGAGTGTATGTTATACACACGCTTCCCCCGCGAGCTCTATACACGTATGTATTAACACCCTCTAATTTATTCCCCAGAGAGCTGGGAGTTGAGTTTATGGCTGGAAATTGCTTCCAAACTTCAGAGGCGGCGGGGGGGGGGGGGGGGGGCTGCCGACCCCTGGAAATACACGGCCGCAACTAAGATATATTATTTTGTTTGTTTTGTAGAAGGGTGCGACCTCTCGGAGACCAGGGGCCAGATTCACGAAAGCACTTACGCAAACACTTACGAACCTGTACATCTTTTCTCAATCTTTGGCGGCTTTTTTTTTACAATTATTGAACAGTTAATAAGCTTCGATGCACCAGGAGGCTGTTTATAACAACAGTTGAATGGAAAGTTTTCATGCTTGTAAACTGTTTAATAAATGTAACCAAAGCCGTCAAAGATTGAGGAAAGACGTACACGTTCGTAAGTGCTTGCGTAAGTGCTTTCGTGAATCTGGCCCCAGGTCACCGGGGGTTCAAGGTCTCGACCCTTTACCTTTTAGTGTGCATTGCCCCTGGCTGGTCAGGTGTCGCGCGTGACCTCCGTATCTAGCTCTTGAAATTGAGATAAGTTTATTGAGGTAAAATACACACAAAGGGATGAGGTAGCTCAAGCTATTCTCACCCCGTTCAGTACATCGTGTTAATATATATATATATATATATATATATATATATATATATATATATATATATATATATATATATATATATATTAACACGATGTACTGAACGGGGTGAGAATAGCTTGAGCTACCTCATCCCTTTGTGTGTATTTTACCTCAATAAACTTATCTCAATTTCAAGAGCTATATATATATATATATATATATATATATATATATATATATATATATATATATATATATATATATATATATATATATATATATATGAATGAAAACTCACACCCCAGAAGTGACTCGAACCCATACTCCCAGAAGCAACGCAACTGGTAACTACAGGGCCTTAATCCGCTTGACCATCACGGCCGTCAAAAGGAAGTGATAGCCGAGGCTATTTGAGCCACTTCCCCGACGGCAACTCGGATGGTAATCTTGGGCATAGCATTTCACCAAATCACCTCATTCTTTGGGGCACACGTGAGGAACACAAATGCGAACAAGCCGTGATGGTCAAGCGGATTAAGGCCCTGTAGTTACCAGTTGCGTTGCTTCTGGGAGTATGGGTTCGAGTCACTTCTGGGGTGTGAGTTTTCATTCGCATATAGTCCTGGGGACCATTCAGGCTTGTTCGCATATATATATATATATATATATATATATATATATATATATATATATATATATATATATAATGTGTATATCACGAAAATAAACACGTGATTAAGAATGTGACAATGTCAGACCACGGAGGAAAAATGAAACAGGAATTTCCTTAAGTACTTTCGTATATTAAATACATCTTCAGAAGGTCTTCACCTTCTGAAGATGTAGATGGAAATTCCTGTTTCATTTTTCCTCCGTGGTCTGACATTGTCATATATATATATATACATCACAAACAATAAACATTATTATCAAATATTCTGAGAGATAAACATATACATTTCCTTTAGCTCTTTATTTTATATGGGGGATTGACGCCCTGCAACTGACATAAAATGCAACTGTTGTGGCTATCCTGAAACATACGAACCCAAGCATCCCTCCTCACCCACCGAGGCCGGGGCATGGAAAACACCATTATATCAAGCTCTTTAATTTTCGTATTAACATGTGTTTGTACGGATTGGCCGATTCCGTTCAAAATGAGACGTATTACGCGGGAAGCCGGGTTCTTGTGCGGGGTGAGTTCAACCACTTGGGCTGGACGGTGGAGCGACGGTCTCGCCGCATGCAGGACGGTGTTCAATCCCCCGACCGTCAAAGTGGTTGGGCACCATTCCTTCACCCACGTCCCATCCCAAATCCTTATCCTGACCTCTTCCAAATGGTCTCTAGTCGTAATGACTTGGCCCTTTCTCCTAATAGTGCCCTTGTACGAGGCGTTAGGATCTATAAGACCATTCAGCAGCATGACTTTCCCCAGAACGCAGTCCATCACTCGCTTTACACCCAGGTTCCCAATTAACAGGGGGGTGTACAGGACTCGAACCAAGGCCTTATGGCGAGCGAGTAGAGAGAGTGGCACTAGAGTCTACAGAAGAGCATCGTAAGGCCAACACAGGCTCAGGAACCTGTACACCTGTTGATTGACGGTTGAGAGGCGGGACCAAAGAGCTAGAGCTCAACCCCCGCAAGCACAACTAGGTGAGTACATCCTCCAAAATGAAACTAGCTACAGTAAGGATGTGGTCGGGAGCACAGCTGTATCGTAATGGACCACAAGAATGTACACTTTTCTGAGCCTATTGGGCTCTGTCACTGCAGGCACCGGTGCCCAGCAACGGGAGGACCTGTATAGGTGTCTCGTAATTGTCTGGTAATGTTTGTTGCACGTTATAATTACCATCGCCAACAAACAGCGGTCGTCAGCTTGTGTACGCACCTAGTTGTGCTTGCGGGGACTGAGCTTTGGCTCTTTGGTCCCGCCTCTCAACCGTCAATCAACTGGTGTTCAGGTTCCTGAGCCTACTGGGCTCTTATCATATCTACACTTGAAACTGTCTATGGAGTCAGCCTCCACCACAACACTTCCTAGAGCATATTGCCTGTGTGTGTGTGTGTGTGTGTGTGTGTGTGTGTGTGTGTGTGTGTGTGTGTGTGTGTGTGTGTGTGTGTGTGTGTTTTAACATCTTTCGTGTTATTTTGTTTTAGGAAAATTTGGATGAGATTCAAATGTGTGTGGCGGGGTGTGTGAGAGTGGTAGGGCGGGCGTCTGGAGGGAGCGGACGTCCAGCGCCCCAAGTGTCACCACCAATGAGATAATACCGCTGCCCGGCTTACACCAGCTCCAGTGACCCGCTGCCCGGCTTACACCAGCTCCAGTGACCCGCTGCCCGGCTTACACCAGCTCCAGTGACCCGCTGCCCGGCTTACACCAGCTCCAGTGACCCGCTGCCCGGCTTACACCAGCTCCAGTGACCCGCTGCCCGGCTTACACCAGCTCCAGTGACCCGCTGCCCGGCTTACACCAGCTCCAGTGACCCGCTGCCCGGCTTACACCAGCTCCAGTGACCCGCTGCCCGGCTTACACCAGCTCCAGTGACCCGCTGCCCGGCTTACACCAGCTCCAGTGACCCGCTGCCCGGCTTACACCAGCTCCAGTGACCCGCTGCCCGGCTTACACCAGCTCCAGTGACCCGCTGCCCGGCTTACACCAGCTCCAGTGACCCGCTGCCCGGCTTACACCAGCTCCAGTGACCCGCTGCCCGGCTTACACCAGCTCCAGTGACCCGCTGCCCGGCTTACACCAGCTCCAGTGACCCGCTGCCCGGCTTACACCAGCTCCAGTGACCCGCTGCCCGGCTTACACCAGCTCCAGTGACCCGCTGCCCAGAACTTTCCCGGGAATGTCTGCCCCTTTGGGGTTGAGCTCTGCTCCTACGGCCCGCTTCTCACCTGTCAATCAACTGTTACTAACTACTGATCCTCCCCCCCCCCTACACACACAGGAATCAGCTCGTAACAGCTGTCTGACTCCTAAGTAACGTACAGTCAGCAATGAAGCGCGTCAATGATTGGGCAAGTACAACTCAAACCGAACTTGCAGGCATATATACCTTGCCACTGAATTTTTAAAAGACAATGGCAGGGGACTTATATACTGTGACTCGCGATGTGCACTCCTGGCATTGAACGCACATAGTAGTGACACCCAGGAAATAGTCAGTGATATTCGCCTTAATCACCTTCAGTGATTAAGGCGAATCACCTTCAGTGATTAAGGCGAATCACCTTCAGTGATTAAGGCGAATCACCTTCAGTGATTAGGCGCTTAATTGCACACTAGTTTCTCTGTCAGCTATCTCACTCTGTCAGAGTAAAAGAGACAAATGTATGTGTATGCATATATGTATGTATATATGTATATGTACGTACGTGTGTGTGTGTATATATGTATGTGTATAAAGTATATATGGAAGCTGATCAGATTTCCATTTCATCTTTATAAATGCACATTAATGACACTATGTAAAAGACACATTGAACACTTTCTGTAGGGCATACGTAAATCTGTGTATTTATGTATTTACGTATGTAGCTTAGCCTAGCTTTTTTTAAAGCACTACAATCACCTGTGGTTGTTCAATAAATCCCTGAACTATATGTTTAACAAATCTCTAACCCTATCCATGGAGGACAGAAGAAAATGTATATATGCTGGTTAGTAATGTTAATGTGTGGCCACGTCTGTGGTAGAAAATAATAATAATAATAAAAACTACACTATCCTGAAGTGTACGGTACACCCACTAATATCCTGAAGTGTACGGTACACCCACTAATATCCTGAAGTGTACGGTACACCCACTAATACCCTGAAGTGTACGGTACACCCACTAATATCCTGAAGTGTACGGTACACCCACTAATATCCTGAAGTGTACGGTACACCCACTAATATCCTGAAGTGTACGGTACACCCACTAATATCCTGAAGTGTACGGTACACCCACTAATATCCTGAAGTGTACGGTACACCCACTAATACCCAGAAGTGTACGGTACACCCATTAATACCCTGAAGTGTACAGTACACCCACTAATGTCCTGAAGTGTACGGTACACCCACTAATGTCCTGAAGTGTACGGTACACCCACTAATGTCCTGAAGTGTACGGTACACCCACTAATGTCCTGAAGTGTACGGTACACCCATTAATACCATGTTCGTCTATTATTGCTAATGGTGGGTATCATACGTTTTTCTCAGCGATTTTCATAGGTGAAATCTAATATATTTTATTGCAGAGGTGTGACGTTATCTAATGTTGTTGTTGTTGTTGTTACAGAGGGTGTGGCGGGGAGCGGCGGGGAGGGCCTGGGAGGGAGCCCCGCCCCCGCCGGTGGCGGCTCCTCCCCCGTCACCAAACGCAAGGGCTTCTCCAGGTTAGTGCCTCCTCTCTTGTTGGTGCCTCTCTTGTTGGTGCTCCTTCCTCTCTTGTTGGTGCTCCTTCCTCTCTTGTTGGTGCCTCTCTTGTTACCTCATCCTTGTCGTTGTCCATTCTCCTGTTAACTGTCTTCTCGACACTTTTGCATCTTCTTAACTTCATCGCAGCCGTGTCCTGCTTCCTTCTTAGGGAAGTCTTGGCCTCCCACTTCCTTAAGATGTTGTTCCCGCCTCCACAATAGCATCCTTGGTCATTCCTGGGATCTTAGGCACCTAACCTATGCCGGGTACCTAAGGCTCTTGACATCTTCCAGGATCCTGACATCTATCTTCCTGGTACCTGCATCATCTTGACTTCCTGGAACGTAGCCTCAGTATGGCTTCCTGGAAACTATCGTTCTCGTAGCTTCCTGGAAACTATCGTTCTCGCAGCTTCCTGGAAACTATCGTTCTCGTAGCTTCCTGGAAACTATCGTCCTCTTATCTTCCTGAAAACTACCGTCCTCGTAGCTTCCTGGAAACTATCGTTCTCGTATCTTCCTGGAAACTACCGTCCTCGTAGCTTCCTGGAAGCTACCGTCCACGTAGCTTCCTGGAAGCTACCGTCCTCGTAGCTTCCTGGAATCTACCGTCCTCGTAGCTTCCTGGAAGCTACCGTCCTCGTAGCTTCCTGGAAGCTACCGTCCTCGTAGCTTCCTGGAAACTATCGTTCTCGTAGCTTCCTGGAAGCTACCGTCCTCGTAGCTTCCTGGAAGCTACCGTCCACGTAGCTTCCTGGAAACCATCGTTCCCTACTCCGTCTTTTTCCTTGTCCTGCGGGATCTTTCCCTGACTGTCATTCTGAAGACCATCTCATTGAAAAATCAATACTCTCTCTCTCTCTCTCTCTCTCTCTCTCTCTCTCTCTCTCTCTCTCTCTCTCTCTCTCTCTCTCTCTCTCTCTCTCTCTCTCTCTCCCCAGAGAACTTACAGTTGTATAGAGTAAGTTATCTAATTGATAAATTGATCCTGGTTCAATAGAGCTTCTAATCTCTCCCACTCACATTCTCCATCTCTTGATGTGTCCTGCTGCCTCTTGTTTTCTCTCATTCAGTGTGCTGTTGTTGAGTGAAAGGTGAGAGTACCTGTTTAAGAGTTAGGTACGAGGTAAACAATGTTAAAGAACAGTCTTTAAAAGAATAGTTTGTTTGAGTCGCCATACGTTAAAACTGTCTTGTCTGGCCTCTGGCAAGGTTTGGGGGAGCAGAACAACTGCCAGAACCTCCTCCAGGTATACCCCAGGTATAGTCTAGGTATACTCCAGGTACACCGCAGTGAGGGCTGTGCTCCCAGACACAAATATTGACACCGGTGATAAGGCGCTCGTGAGGAACGCTCCTTAATTATTCTTATCACTGGGTTGTGGGTAGGTGCTTCACCCACCCAGCGTGAACCTTGAGTAAATGTCTCTGATGCACTGGGACTGGTGGTGGTGGTAGTGGGTCATGCACTGGGACCTGTGAATCAAGGCCGGGGTACAGTGGCAGTGGGTCATGCATTTAAGAGTCTTCGACCCTCGATGTTTACAAAATTGTCTCATTGCACACCAATCAACAGATATAGCGACAATAGAAGACTAGGCATAGCTAAAGTACTACATATAAAGCACTCATTCAACTATCAACAACCAGCTTGCAATTAGGTATGTTGTATGATCGTCAAGAGCAAGACGGAGCCAACATACTACACCATCTGTCCCCAACCGTCCATTGAGAATGCATGCTAAGATTACCCAGTCACCTCACCTGCAGTGGTTGGGTTATGCACAGGGCACAGGGAGGGATAGCTTATGCATTTGAGCAAGTAGTGGTAGTTGTAGTGGTTCAGTATTTAGGGGAAGAGGAGGGGTAGTAAGTGTTGGTCGTGTAGGGGGGATTGTAGGTGCAGTAGTGGTTGGTTAAGCACAGGTACGGTACTGGCAACAGAGGCTGATAACTAACGTGAGTGTGGAAAGTCATGGTGATTGGGTAGTGAAGGAGGTCAGTGACACGGTCAGTACAAGGAAGTCATGCCCATGACAGTGGGGAAGTCATGCCCATGACAGTGGGGAAGTCATGCCCATATCTTCACCGAGATACTCTAGTATTCACTCACTGTATTTCATGCACTCAAAGCTTCACACATTGCTTACAGGCAAAACGTAATGCTAATTCTTAACGTTGACAAATTATTGTAATACATTAAATACAAGTTATCACTAAATCAAATTGTATTTTATATATCTATTGTTTTAATGTAGGTTTTTTTAAGCGGATCTTTAATTTTTACGCAGGTGGCAGTTTGTAGCCCAGTTATTTCATTAAATAACATTGATGAAATGTTACTTGATGAAATAACATTTCACAGGTCCCGTGAACATGCTACAGGGTCGCACTGAGGACATTAGTGAGCTGAGGTTGATTGGTCCCCAAGCATACATATCAGTTAAACTCTGGGTATAAATAATATGTCATCAGAACATGTATTGTGGCTTATCTTCCCCTCACTGACGTCGTAAGGAAATTTTTTTTTATTAATATATTAGGTACATCAGCATTTGTGCAGCTGCCATAGACTATATGAAGGGGGAGTACAGTGTGTCAAAACGCTAGCTACGTGATGATAAAAAATTCCCATCACACAGGATGGTTAGTCATACAGAGGCATGTGATAGGCAGTCTGCACCGGCAGACTCTGGGTGCATTATGAGGATATCATCATGAACACAAGAGTGAATAAGGCAGCAGTGATACTAAAAGTCCCCATCTCGCAGGATGGTTAGTCATACAGGGCCGTATGTTCTGTAACCTGCACTGGCAAATTTTGGGTACATTATGAGGATATCTTCAAGAATACGAGAGAGAGAATAAAGTAATTGCAAAGCTCCAGGTACCTTATGCCAACGGGTCTGAATGGTCTAATAACTGGGCACTCGGTGATGTAGTGCTGGAGATCATGCCGCAGTTCCTGCTCACAGAGTTTGCACCTGGAGTGCTCAGGATTGGGAGATCCGTCACCTGCAGCCACCTGCCACAGGTAACGGTAACCCAACCTGATCCTGGCAACCACTGTGTCGCACAGTCTGGTCCACGTTTTGTGCTGCCCATAGATGTAGGTTTCAGATCTGAACAAATCATAGCTTTTTATACTAATGCTTTCAGGTCGTTGAGAGTCAGTAATTTCTTTCCTATCAGACCTGAGTGTTTGGACCAATATAGGAGAGAGGGGAAGACAGAGGTGTGAGAGAGAGAGGGGAATATAGAGATGTGTGAGAAATGATGAATATAGAAACTCTATGGACTCGGTACTGAACTTTTCACTCTCACTGACTTCATTGTAGGTGGTCATGGAAGGTGATCCCTACCCTACCCCCCCTCCCCCTCCACCCTTAAACAATGAGACAAGTTCATAATGAAGTACCATTTATGTTTTCATTATATGCTGACTTGTACGTCTTCCTTTCCAGTCGAAAATGGTTACCGCCTCCTCTTCGCAAGTTGAGCCAAGGTCGCGTGGACCGAGTGACCTCACCCTCGACCGCAGCCCCTCTGCTTGACCCCCCTCACAGACCCGACCACCCCCACACCAGGCAGGAACACGCCCACAAGCACCAGTTCAGGAAGGCGTATTCCGAACGCAGATTTAAGGTAAGCACTTGTTATTACCTAACCTCTAGTTATCCTAGGTGCTCTCTAGGTATCCTGGGTGATCTCTAGCTATCCTGGGTGCTCTCTAGCTATCCTGGGTGAACTCTTAGCTATCCTGGATGATCTCTAGCTATCCTGGGTGCTCTCTAGCTATCCTGGGTGCTCTCTAGCTATCCTGGGTGCTCTCTAGCTATCCTGGGTGCTCTCTAGCTATCCTGGGTGCTCTCTAGCTATCCTGGGTGATCTCTTAGCTATCCTGGGTGCTCTCTAGCTATCCTGGATGATCTCTAGCTATCCTGGGTGCTCTCTAGCTATCCTGGGTGCTCTCTAGCTATCCTGGGTGCTCTCTAGCTATCCTGGATGATATCTAGCTATCCTGGGTGCTCTCTAGCTATCCTGGATGATATCTAGCTATCCTGGATGATATCTAGCTATCCTGGATGATCTCTAGCTATCGTGGGTCATCTCTAGCTATCCTGGGTGCTCTCTAGCTATCCTGGGTGCTCTCTAGCTATCCTGGATGATATCTAGCTATCCTGGGTGCTCTCTAGCTATCCTGGATGATATCTAGCTATCCTGGATGATATCTAGTTATCGTGGGTCATCTCTAGCTATCCAGGTTGCTCTTGTCACTCAACCAAACCGCCCTAACTTCCGGTGTTCCATCTGGTGAGGTGTTTCATCTGGTGAGGTGTTCCATCTGGTGAGGTGTTTCAGCCAGTGAGGTGATGATATTGTGCCAGAGGCAATGACTGAGAAGAATGATATCAACTAATCACCGATGAGATGGAGTGTACAATCTTAGAACCTGTATATCCGACTTTCGGGAGCTCTAAGGCACAGCCACGCTCAGTGCGGCTTTTTAAGAATTCTGAATTACTTCATAGTTGATGGTAAACCAACCTAGGCCTTACGAGAAAGGTTTGCAGTCTTTTGGAGTTGTTTACCAAAAACTGTGATATTATTTGGACTTTAGTTGTTGTGAAGACGAGCGTCTAGTTGGACGTAAGGCGTGAGGGTTGGACGTGTGGGTGGTGTTGCCTGGTGTTGCAGGTGTTGGCAGGTGTTAGGTTATCACCAGCGACAAGTGGACAAGCCAACAGGTTATAGCAGTCGCTCAATACAACATAAAATGAATGGAATATGAGGCATTGTTCCAGATGCTGGACATTGTTTCATTTAATCCCGAGTGGTCTCCAGTTTTTGTTTTTCTGATTGTCTGACTTCCAGAAAAAAAGGCCAAGCAGAAGACTGAGGAGCAGCGACGACACTCGAAGGCTAATCAGATAGGTCTCACTGTAAACCAGGGGCGGTGGAGAGAGTTGCAAGGTACAGCAGATCCACTACTGGTGTAAACTATTGTATACCAGCCGTAGAACTGTGACTGTTGTGGGAGTGGAGATGCGACTGATGGGGAAGGAGGGATAGAGATCATATTCGGGGGTGAGGGTGCAAGGGAAGGGAGGGAGGAAGGGAGGGAGGAAGGGAGGGAGGAAGGGAGGGGGGAAGGGAAGATGTGAAAGGGAAGCACCAGGTGGGAGAGAGAGTGCGCGCAAAAGAATTATCATCAACGGACGGGGGTCTTTATAATTGAACATCCCGGGGTTGATAAATGAAGTATTGTGTTACTGGTAGATGCTCTCGCGGGGTTCTACACCCCCCCCTTTCCACCCCCCTCCCCCCATCACCCCCTTCCCCATCACCCCCCCCCCTCCCCCCTTTCCATTTAACCCCCAAATACAATAAATAAACCTATGTCATTAACAATTTCTAAAAATCCCTTGAAGCTGTATTTTCTGGAATACAATCGAGAGAGAAACATCGTATTCTGCCTCATGAAATTATTACACGGACACGTGCTAATTTTCCACGCGGAAATAATTCCCATGAAACCAGGAATTCCTGTAGAATTGAGTAAATTGCCTCATTAAAGGTAGTGAGGTAATACTGGTAAGGTAATTATGAGGAGGAAGTGATGAGGCCGTATGACTATATAGCACGTGGAACCGATATGAGGACAAGGTGCTGGGATATGAGGACAACGAGCTGGGATATGAGGACAAGGTGCTGGGATATGAGGACAACGAGCTGGGATATGAGGACAAGGTGCTGGGATATGAGGACAACGAGCTGGGATATGAGGACAAGGAGCTGGGAAGTGAGGACAAGGAGCTGGGATATGAGGACAAGGGGCTGAGATATGAGGACAAGGGGCTGGGATATCAGGACAAGGAGCTGGGATATGAGGACAAGGGGCTGGGATGTGAGGACAATGAGCTGGGATATGAGGACAAGGAGCTGGGATATGAGGACAAGGTGCTGGGATATGAGGACAAGGTACTGGGATATGAGGACAAGGAGCTGGGATGTGAGGACAAGGAGCTGGGATGTGAGGACAAGGAGCTGGGATATGAGGACAAGGTGCTGGGATATGAGGACAAGATACTGGGATATGAGGACATGGTACTGGGATATGAGGACAACGAGCTGGGATATGAGGACAAGGTACTGGGATATGAGGACAAGATACTGGGATATGAGGACAAGGAGCTGGGATATGAGGACAAGATACTGGGATATGAGGACAAGATACTGGGATATGAGGACAAGGTACTGGGATATGAGGACAAGGAGCTGGGATATGAGGACAAGGAACTGGGATATGAGGACAAGGAGCTGGGATATGAGGACAAGGAGCTGGGATATGAGGACAAGATACTGGGATATGAGGACAAGATACTGGGATATGAGGACAAGGTACTGGGATATGAGGACAAGGTACTGGGATATGAGGACAAGATACTGGGATATGAGGACAAGATACTGGGATATGAGGACAAGGTACTGGGATATGAGGACAACGAGCTGGGATATGACAAGATACTGGGATATGAGGACAAGATACTGGGATATGAGGACAAGATACTGGGATATGAGGACAAGGAGCTGGGATATGAGGACAAGGTGCTGGGATATGAGGACAAGGTACAAGGTACTGGGATATGAGGACATGGTACTGAGATATGAGGACAACGAGCTGGGATATGAGGACAAGGTACTGGGATATGAGGACATGGTACTGGGATATGAGGACAACGAGCTGGGATATGAGGACAAGGTACTGGGATATGAGGACAACGAGCTGGGATATGAGGAAAAGATACTGGGATATGAGGACAAGATACTGGGATATGAGGACAAGATACTGGGATATGAGGACAAGATACTGGGATATGAGGACAAGGTACTGGGATATGAGGACAAGGTACTGGGATATGAGGACAAGATACTGGGATATGAGGACAAGGAGCTGGGATATGAGGACAAGATACTGGGATATGAGGACAAGATACTGGGATATGAGGACATGGTACTGGGATATGAGGACAAGGAGCTGGGATATGACGACAAGATACTGGGATATGAGGACAAGGAGCTGGGATATGAGGACAAGATACTGGGATGTGAGGACAAGGAGCTGGGATATGAGGACGAGAAGAAGGAACCCCGGCCAGTCATCTAGTAAAGAACATAGAGAGATATGATAGAGAGAGAGAGAGTGACATCCATGCTAGAATCATTCAGTGTGAATATTAGCTTTCTAGTGTGATTCATGCTATGAGGGCAAGTGTGTGAGCATTGTATCGCAACCACACCATATTGCACGACGCAACACACCGTATTGCACGACGCAACACACCATATTGCACGACGCAACACACCGTATTGCATGACGCAACAACGTATTGCACGGCGCAACACACCATATTGCACGCCGCAAATGATCAAAGTATAACCATCAAGTATAGAGTGAGCGAAAGAGCCTTGTCTGGTTCTAGCGAAAGAGCTAGTCTGCTCTACAGCCACGAGTCATCAACCATTTACGAACCCCTCTTACGAAACCTGTACATCTTTCCTTGATTATGGCGGCTTTGTTTAGAATTATTAATAAGCAGTTTACCAGTTTGTAAACTTCACAACCTAATGGTAGTTGTTGTTATAAACAATCTCACAGTGCTTCGGAGCTCATACACGGCTTAATAAATGTAAACAAAGATTGTTTACATGATTGATGAAAGATGTAGAGGTTTCGTAAGTAGATGCGTGAATGCTTGATCACGCATCTTCTTGGCTCAGGATCATCACCATTTCTGTAACCTCATCGCTTCTCAAAAGCCACGATTGCATGATATAATTACCTTAATGTGAAAATTCCTTGGAGCAGTGGCACGGACTCGAACACTCCTCCCAGGTCACCTCCCCCAGTGACGTCACAAGGGCACCCCCGAGTGACGTCACAAGGGCACCCCCCTGAGTGACGTCACAGGGGCCCGGGCTTGGGGAACAGGAAGGGGTTTGTAAGTAATCAGTGTGAAACACACCATTGAGCAAGCCGCACGCACATATGTTAATCCGGTGAGCCGTATATGGCTTGTGTGAGCAACATTACACACCGCGGACCACAGTTACCTTGTATATGTACCGTACCTGTACAGTACCTGTGGCTGGTCTCCAGTGTTTTGATACTCTAGCAATCAGGCTCCCCTGGGTACAAATGGTAAACACACACACACACACACACACGCACGCGCGCACGCGCACACACACACACACACACACACACACACACACACACACACACACACACACACACACACACATGTATGTGTATATGGAGGCTGACTCCATACACAGTTTCAAGTGTAGATATGATAGAGCCCAATAGGCTCAGGAACCTGTACACCTGTTGATTGACGGTTGAGAGGCGGGACCAAAGAGCCAGAGCTCAACCCCCGCAAGCACAACTAGGTGAGTACACACACACACACACACACACACACACACACACACACACACACACACACACACACGTGGCCAGATTCTCAGTGCCACCACAACCTCCAGAGTCATCAGGGGCTATGGAGTGCCACCATGTTTGTTCTCTCCAGTGCCACCATTACTATGACCTTGCTTGACCCGTGAGTGTGGCACAGCTGCCT